CTAGCATGCGACCACCTGCTAAAGTGTCTATTGAGCCTTTGGGGGAAAGGTTTCACAATGTGGAGGAAGCTTGCTAGTGTGAGGAGTATGGTAATATAATGAGCATGTAAGAAGGGCTTTACGGTTAGCTGAATTTGGTTCCAAAGCACAAGTCCCTACCCCTGTTCCTGTCTTGCTAGAACACTGTTCATCCTGCTCTGGCCGAAACCTCTGCTATTTTCTGCCCTTCTCCTTGCCATAGGCTTCCACATGACATTCCCAGCATTCCCACATGACGTTTGTATCCCCAAGAAAGGAACGTCCACACAAGAAGTAGGTTTACTGCCCTTTTCGTGGTGGTATTCAGGAAATGGCATTACAGTGACATCACAAGGACATACACTCCAGAGTCACTTGACATACACAGTCAATCACATTTAGTGGACGGTCCGCAGTAGTCACAAGTGAAAGCATATGCAATACCTCAGCAGCCACCTCCCTTACAGTATCTCCTCTGCCCAGGGTCATAAATACAGGACTGTGCTCTCTGTAGTCACCTCCTTGCTAGGTACAGTTGCAAGAAAAAGTATGTGAACCCCTTGGGATTACATGGAGTTTTGCATGAATTGGGCATAAAATGTGCTCTGAACGTTATCTAAGTCACAACAATAGAAGAACACAGTCTGCTGAACATAATACTACACAAACATTAGATGTTGCCATGGTTTAATTGCACATAACATGTAAACATTCACAGTGCAGGGAGGAAAAAGTATGTGAACCTTTGGACTTAATAACTGGTTGACCCTCCTTTGGCAGCAATAACCTCAACCAAACGTTTCCTGTAGTTGCAGATCAGACCTGCACAACGATCTGGAGTAATTTTGGACCACTCCTCTTCACAAAACTGTTTCAGTGTAGCAATAGGGTGTAGGGAGAGTAGCAACAGTGCTAAACTTTCTCCATTTGTAGACAGTCTGTCTTACCGTGGACACATGAACATCAAGGCTTTTGGAGATACTTTTGTAACCCTTTCCAGCTTCATGCAAGTCAACAATTCTTGATCGTAGGTCTTCTGAGAGCTCTTTTCTGCGAGGCATGAAACCAGTAAACCCAAAACAGGTGTGTGTTTTTTAAGGGCAGGACAGCTGTCAGCAACACATCCAATATCATCACACTGATTGGAGTCAAGGTTGGCTCACTCCTGGCTCCAATTAGCTCTGGGAGAAGTCATTAAGCTAGGGCCTCACATACTTTTTCCTCCCTGCACTGTGAATGTTTACATGTTATGTGCAATTAAACCATGGCAATATCTAGTGTTTGTGTATTATTATGTTCAGCAGACTGTGTTCTTCTATTGTTGTGACTTAGATGACGTTCAGAGCACATTTTATGCCCAATTCATGCAAAACTCCACGTAATCCCAAGGGGTTCACATACTTTTTCTTGCAACTGTACATCTCTCCTGGGAACCCTCCAGGGAAGCAGCCTCATACAGGGATCTTTGACCTGGCCTAAAAGGCTTTTTGCAATCCACCCTAGACCACACCTCCATAAGAAACAGACTACAGCCGGATCCTCCTGCATACAGGTCAATTCCATCCGGTCTTCTGCCCTGTCCAGGGCCTACATGTGTTGGCTACATTCTTTGAGGTGGGGGTAGTTTAGCTCCCATACCCCAAGTGTGTGTGTGTGCTCCTCCCCACCTGACTATATATAGTTTCCGGCTCCCCACGTACATCATTGTGGCTGTTCCTAAAAGGGACCTAACACCTGGTGTCACTACCTGCTGAACGAGACACTATTCTGGCACAGATCCACCTAGTGGTGAAGTGGCTAACTGCACCTACATGCATTTAACCCTTGCAATGGAGAGGGGCTTCACTACATGTTTTATTTGTTTGTAGTTCTGCAATTGGCAGAAAAATGCCTCTAGCTTGTGTATGCATGTATTGCATTCAGTGTAAATTCATTCTACTGGCCAGAATATTAATTCATTTTGGATATGTGAATACATTTACACACATACATGCATGCGGATATGCGTTTAGATGCAAAATTAGGATGCACTCGGCCAAAAACCGAAATAGACAGTTTTTTTAAAAACTAATATATTTTTCAATTGCAAATTTTTTGGAAAAAAATAAATTTTAATGAAAAATACCACAATATATACCCCAGTTTTTTTGTAAAATATGAAAGATGATGTTATGCCGAGTAAATAGATGCCCAACAGGTCATGCTTTAAAATTGTGCACGCTTGTGGAATGGTACCAAACTACGGTACTTAAAAATCCCCATAAGCGACGGTTTAAAATTTTTTACAGGTTATCAGTGTAGAGTTACTAGTGCTATAATTATTACCACATGTGTGGTTTCAACACTGCTTACAAATGTGGCGCGTGGCCTTCATACGCGTTTACCACTAGACACGAACACGGGGACGAGAGCACTTTAAACATTTTTTTAAATTATTTACGTTATTACTTTTTACACTGTCCCTTTTTTAAATTTTTTTTTTTTTAATTGCAAATATCCCTTGTGATAAAAATAAGCAGTGACAGGTCCTCTTTATGGAGAGATATGGGGCCAATATTGGGTCTCTCCTCTACAATGTAAAGTATTAGATCAAAAAAAGCATTGATCCAGTGCTTTAAAAAAAAATGGCCTTGTTTACAAGGCTCCGGAACTGGAAGTAACATAATGATGTCGCCAAGTGTAAAGTTTGATGGAGGGGGGATTATGGTGTGGAGCTGTTTTTCAGGGGTTGGGCTTGACCCCCTAGTTCTAATGAAGGGAACTCTTAAGGCCTCAGCACACCAACACATTTTGGACAATTTCATGCTCCCAACTTTGTGGGAACAGTTTGGGGATGGCCCCTTCCTGTTCCAACATGACTGTGCACCAGTGGTCCAGTGGTCACCAAGGTCCATAAAGACATGGGTGAGTTTGGGGTGGAGGAACTTGACTGCTCTGCACAGAGTCCTGACCACGCCCTGATAGAACACCTTTGGGATGAATTAGAGCGGAGACTGTGATCCAGGCCTTCTCGTGTGACATCAGTGCCTGACCTCACAAATGCACTTCTGGAAGAATGGTCAAACATTCCCATAGACACTCCTAAACCTTGTGGACAGCCTTCCCAGAAGAGTTGAAGCTGTTATAGCTGCAAAGGGCGGGCCAACTCAATATTGAACCCTACGGACTAAGACTGGGGTGCCATTATAGTGTATGTGCGTGTGAAGGCAGGCCGAACGATACTTTTCTAGTAATATACTAGTGTACAGTATATTGATGCATCTCTGTTTGTTAAGATGTCAATAATTTTTTTTGTTAAATTCAGTTAATGCAAATACCTGACATTGATTCTTCTCTTTCAATTCCACATTTAGCTCAGACTGAGAAAGGAAGGGGCCAGACTGGAAGCCAATCAGATGCAGTGTATGCAAATGTAACAATAACATGCAGATAATAGGAGAGAGCAGAGAGACCACCTTATTAGTTTGTTACTGCTCCTTCACTGCCCAGTCAGCAGGGTAGAGGACATCACTGTATTCCTTCTATGATCTATAATGTGAGGATAGGTTCATGCTAGCCAAAGCTCAGTAATGCAATCCAAGATAGATCGCCTTTTAGAGCACAGCTGTTGTCAGTCTTTTAGGAGGCGATCATGCCACCTCCTAAATGCCTCTTTTTCTTCTGAACAGTTTGTAATGGGGCTACTAATATGCCGCAACTGCAAGCCAATTGTTTGTACATGGGCACCATTGACTTTAAAAGTGCTGCCTGTCAACTTGGCGTTACATGTTAAATTTGCCGTGACGCAAAGCATTGCAGCCTTAGTATGTGATCAGCTTCCTCCAAATGTTTAGGCCGTACAGGGATAGAAATTCTGCTGGTTCAGCAGGGACAAGCCAAATTTTGATCCAAGAATGGGGCAGGGTGGTTCCGCTTGATCAGTGCCGTTGGCTATAGACTGCAGCACTGATCAGTGTATTCTGGAAGTCACTTTATTGTCAGAATACAATAATTCAGCGGGAAGATTCTCCCATCCACATCAAATGTGTGGATGGGGGAATTGAGTCATTCTTTTTTTCATTCAACCCACTGGCTGAGCAAGAAAAAAAAATCATCTATGGGCTGTCTTAGTCTTTCGGTGACAGCCAGGACAATAAAATCATGGTTCAGCCGCCTGTTTATACAGTCCCCTGGCCTCCTCTGTGGAAGAGTCCTCACAGAGAAATTGGTGTTTTCACCTTGCTGGGCTATGTGGCAGGGTTTTATAAATCTTATAACTTGATGGAGAAAAAAATACAAATCCCTTGGAAGATAAACCAGTTCTCCTGTATGGATTTCCTCTGTATATTTACCCATTTGCTTGAAGTTAAAGAGTTTGTAAACCCAACCTTTCATATTCCTGATATGTGTCTGCTGTACTGTGTACTTGTATGAAGAGTATCCTGTTCTCTTTGTATTACTTTCTTTGTGTGAAATCCATGGTGTTACTGCCAGTCCCTCTGCTTTCCTATTAAAAACTGACCACACTAGGCATTAGTGCACAGCATGGTCAGTTCTCTGACTGTGCTGGGAACTCATTGTGCTCTCCTCCAAGGATCAGACTTGCACAGCCATTCACTGGGAAGGCCAATGTACAGCTGTTTCTCCTCTCCCAGATGTCTGTTCACAGCTGCACAAGGAGCTTAGAGGGTATGTGATCACTTATAAAACATGAAGAAAGTGTTCGGAATTTTTTTTATATCTATACACATTTCTAATTTAAACTGAATAGATTGTTTTACAATGCGCAGGTTCACATATACTTTAAAGTGTTAATAAACACACAACAGTAAAATCAGTCTGGTTATGCAGTAAAGCCTGCTGGTTATTCTCACTGTGGAACCTAAGGGGTTAATCCTCATTGTGTAGAAAGGCTGTTTGATCCTGTCTTTTCTGATTATCCCCTTCTTCCACAGTCCCCAGTCCATCTTCTGATAGAACAGAGCCTTGGGGGAAAGCTACACATGCTCAATTTGGTGTGTATTGCTAGAGAGTTTTTTTTTCTTGGGAGGGTCCATGTGATCATCACAGGGCCAATCAACATTGTCCAGACAGAGGTCAGGCGTCATGCAGCCTCATAGGACACTCAGGGGAATGAAATCTGCTCCTACAGGTTTTAACCAGTGCTCAGCTTGGCACTGGTAGAAGCCACAAGACTGCTAAGGTATTTAGCAGTTTATATTTACTACAATAATTGCAGTTCCATGTTCTGTGTACTGTGAGAGACCAGATATAGTGAATGCAGCCTCATAGGTTTAGCAATATTTTAAAGTGTTACTAAACTCAGGACCCTGCATTCACTATATCTGGAACTGCAATTATTTTAGTAAATATGAACTGCTAAATACCTTTTCTCATCAGCAGTTAGAGGAGTCTTGTGACTTCAATCAGTGTCAGTATCAAAACCTTTCTAGAAATACACGCCAAACTGAGCATGTGCATAGTGTGTCCACTTGATATATCTTATCAGGAGATAAGAGGGTGGCACTGGAAGAAGGGAAGCATCAGAGAAGTCAGGATAAAACAACTTTTTTACACAATGCAGATGATTAACCCCTTAGGTTCCACAGTGAGTATAACAAGCATGCTTTACTGCATATACAGACTGATTTTACTGTTGGGGTTTAGTAACACTTTAAGGTGGCACCCTGAATTAGAAGTGAGCCATACACTTGGTGCAGCTGTACCGGAATGTGGGGCTCCATAATGTGAACTGCTGTATCCTATGATACTGCACACCTTGTCTTTGGAATGTTACATTTAAAAGGGAACATTGCTGTGTTCTGTCCCATCAGTCCAACTTGTAGGAGGAGTCCTTTCTTTCTTTTTCTTTCTTTTCTTTCCTTTCCTTTCCTTTTCTTTCTATCCTTTTCTTTTCTTTCCTTTCTTTTCTTTCCTTTCCTTTCTTTCCTTCCTTCTTTCCTTTTCCCCCTTTTCCCCTTTCCTTGTGCTGATTGGCCCTGTGCTAATCACATGCACTCTCCCAAGAAATGAAACCAAAAACTCTCTAGCAAAACACACCAAACTGAGCACATGCAGAGTGACCTCACACCATATGTCTTATCAGGAGATAAGAGGGGGACACTGGAAGAAGGGGAGGATCAGAGAAATCAGGATCAAACAGCCTTTTTACACAAACATCTTTTAAACCTCTCTAGCAATACACACCAAACTGAGCATGTGTATGACTACAGGTTCAGTCTGTCTTAATAGGTGGACATTTGAACAAAAGGAGGGGCAGAGAAAACAGGACCAAATGGCCTTTTTACATAATGCAGAGTATTAACCCCTTAGGTTCCACAGTGAGTATAACAAGCATGCTTTACTGCATATACAGACTGATTTTACTGTTGTGGGTTTAGTAACACATAATAGCTCTCAGGAGACCCCTGCAGGCTGAAACTTGTAGTGGATTTTCTGGTGGTTGGGCAGCAGATTTGGACAATGCATTGAAGGGTAATTCAGGCTGCTCCTATGCATCAAATTGATCACTTTTCCTGATAAGGCAAGCCACAGCTTTTCTTTACAACCGTCACAACAACAAAAAAAAAAAATAAGGGCTGCATCTACCATCCATACTCGCCTGCTTGTTTTCTCCAACACCAGAGGTGCTTTTTTTTTCATTTTAATTATTTACAATAGGAGAAAAGTTAATTTTGGTAAGTCCACTGAATTTGGTGGTGCTTTTAGTGATGTGCACCTATTAGTGCTGTTTAAGCCATACAGTGTTAATACAAAACCTAAAGAAACAGCAGCCAGCGGAATGAAGAACTCCCTGCAAACAACACAAAAACACAGGATAATGAAACAGAATAATTGGTTTGCTGCAGTAAGTGGGAGTGAGAGGTGAGGCAATACAAATGCTGTTTGCTAGCTCCGTTAATGAGAGGAAGTTTGGTGTTTGAGCTATAAATTGAGATCTGGGGGTGGCATATGTAGTACAGCGCACAGCAGCTAATAGTTCCCACTTTACAGAAAGGGTTGCCCCTTTCCTAGAAAAAAAAAAGCCTTCCTGGTCAGGTTTGCTCAGAAATAAAGAAATAAGTGGGACTGGCTTGTTATAAGACAGGGATCTACTGTAGACCAAAATTAAAGGTACTATGTAGTCTGGATTGGCCTTAGAGTGACATCAAACGTTATTTTTAACCACTTGCCCTCCAGAAGATTTACCCCCCCCCCCCCCCGCTTCCTGACCAGGACGTTTTTTTTGCGATACGACGCTGCGTTCTTTTAACTGACATATGCACGGTCATGCATGGCTGCACCCAAATTAAATTTATGTCCTTTTTTTTTACAACAAATAGAGCTTTCTTTTGGTGGTATTTGATCGCCTGTACATTTTTAATTTTTTGCATTATAAACAAGAAAAGGCTGACAATTTTGAAAAAAAAAAAGCAATATTTTTGATTTTTTGCTATAAAACATAATCAATAAAATTTTTTTAAAAGCCCGACCCCAACCACGCCCCCTTAAAGCTTATGAAATTACATTTTTCTTTAGAATAAAGAGTCCAAAATATAAAACTGTACACAGTAATGTATATCCCAGCTCCCCTGTACTCCATTATAGTGATTTGACATGTTGTATAGAGTACTTACTCCTAGTCCCTCCGAGTCCCCCGCGGCGGTGGAGAGGGTGCCTCCTTTCAGCGGAGGAGAGCGGGCCTCTCCCAGTGCCGCAGAAGCCGGAAGTTGTAAACCGGAATTCGGCTTCACAATGAGGCTTGGAGCGCAAGTGCAGTCGCTCCATGCTTCATCTGTGCTCGCTGCTCGCTACAGAGGAATTTCTCCTCGCATTTGGCGAGCGGGCAAGTGGCTTTTTCAAGCCCTGTTTTAAAGGACACGGGACTTAAAAAACTGCACCAAAAATGCTTCTCAGAGGTGTTTTTCAGGTGCTTTCCATTGATTTAAATGGGAAGAGGCATTTTTGGGGCGTGTTTTTTTTAATTGAACAAACTTACTCCAAAGATACTGCAAGCAAGAGTTTTTACACCGCAACAGAAGTGCAACGCTCCAGTGTGAAAACATACATAGACATACATAGGGAAGCATTTTTCTTGAGCTTTTAAGGCAAAAGTGCTTCAAACACTTCTCAGTGTGAAAGTAGCCTTAGGCATACAGGATGGACTGCAACAACCGCCATCAAGGATGGAGATTGGCATCCCCTAGTATGGCTTGATACATAATAGGTTAGGGTGGGCTGCAGCAGTTGGTGGAAGTGGAAAAGAATCGTGGATATACCCACTATTCTAGCCCTTACTAAATTGTCTATCGGCCCCTACTTTATGTACTTTATCAATCGGACTTATGAAATACTGGTTAGTTGATACTCCTATTTTTAATATGAAATTTCCAAGCAAGCTTTTTTGTCAATGGGTTTTGGCGCTGTTACTTTGTCAGGCGACCCTCTAAGCTTCTGCATTCCTATTTGCCTGAGCAAATTTAATTTCTTTCTACACTTGCATCTGATACCTATATTATATCTAATAAACAGCAGCAATATAAACTAATGACTTATGAATCATGCATTCTGGTCTGCCAAAGAACGTGAATTATTCATGTCTGATCATATGTTTTATATATAATTAAAAGGTGTGACTTTGCTTTTTCTGTCGGCTAGTGAATCATAGAAGCAGCAGAAAATCTATTGGCTGTCTTATTCAAGTGAAAGTTAATTGGAAAGCTGATAAATCCTGAAACCAGATATATAGTAATTTCTGATTTGTGTTGGAATCTCGCCTATCACTTTCACGTAAAACATTTCCACCACTAGTGTAAGGGATGAGCACTGTATACTGGCCTTTGTTAATAGTAGTATGCCAAGAGGCATTATATATATATATATATATATATATATATCTATATGTACCTCGGTTTGCAAATTTAATACGTTCTCCGGAACGTTTCGTATTGCGAAAAATTCGTAAACCGGTTTCCCATAGGAATGCATTGAATGCCTATTAATGCGTTTCGGAGGTCAGAAAAAAAGTAAAAAAAAAAAAGTCGCTGTCACTATAGGTCAGTGCCGGTTTTTCTTCACTATAGCTCAGAGAATCAGCTGTCACTTTCCTCCCAGCTAAAAGAAAATGTTTCCTTCAGTTTTTTTTTCCCCGGAGTTAAAAGAAACAATGTTTCCTTTTAGTTTGTTTCCTGAGATAAAACAAAGTATCCTTTAGATCTGGGGAAAGTGACAGCTATAGTGAAGAAAAAAAAAAAGTCATCAATTTCATTTAAAAATCGGCACCGACATACACTTCGTATTGCGGAAAAATGTTGTAAACCGAGGCATTATTTTCAATGGATTTTAATTCGTAAACTAAAAATTACATTAACCAGGGCATTCGTAAACCGAGGTGAACCTGTGTGTGTGTGTGTGTGTGTGTATGTATGTATGTATGTGTATGTGTGTGTGTGTGTGTGTGTGTGTGTGTATATATATATATATATATATATATATATATATATATGTGAAAGAAATACGTATTTGATCCCCTGCTGATTTTGAATGCCCACTCATAAAGAAATGATCAGTCTAAAAATCAAATGGTAGGTGTATTGTAACACTGAGAGACAGAATAGCAACACAATTCAAAGGAAATGCATGTCTGACAAATTATGCACTGATTTGCATGTTCATGAGGCAAATAAGTATTTGATCCCCTATCATTCACCAGGATTTCTGGCTACCGGGTGTCTTTCGTACAGGTAACAAGCTGAGATTAGAAGCAGTCTCTTAAAAGGAGTGCTGCTAATTTCATTTTGTTACCTTTATAAAAGACACCTGTGTCCACAGAAGCAATCAAACAATCAGATTCCAAACTCTCCACCATGGCAAAGACCAAAGAGCTGTCCAAGATGTTAGGGACCAGATTGTAGACCTACACAAGGCTGGACTGGGCTACCAAACGATCTTCAAGCAGCTTGGTGAGAAGGTGAGAAGGTGACAACAGTTGGTGCAATCATTCGCAAATGGAAGAAACACAAAACAACTGTCAGTCTCCCTAGGTCTGGTGCACCATGCAAGATCTCACCTCGTGGAGTGTGAATGATTATGAGAA